ATATATGTATAGAAACGTATATGTGTGTTTAAGTAGGTGTATTCAACTCGAACGTCAAATGCATTTCTGGTTAGATCGAAGAAAACTTTACGAGTTCCTACACCACCCCTTTTCCTTTTGTCTTCTAACTCGAATATATGTATATATGTATTATTTATATAAATATAATCATATATATATATAGAAGATAGTGTAATCAAATTATAGATAATAATATAATCGAATTGAACTTTTTTTTTTTTTAATAATTGCGAACAAAAATGAATTATCCTTCTTTCCTCGTCTCTCTTTTATATATTCGAATTTAATCGAATATTTTTTTTTTATTTTCTCTTTCTCTCGCTTACTCTTTCTCTCTCTCTCTCTTTCGTTCACTCTTCTCATTCTCTCTTCCAATGCCTAGAAAAACATTTCATTTTATATAATATATCACATACTCGTTTACCTCTAAACACACTGAAATAAGAAGCACTTTAAGATAGTTGACCTAGAGATACAATGATTCCTAAAAATATTTCTACACCCTGACACGATTCAATTTTTTGGTTTCATATATCCGGTTATTTGTCAAACGACCCTTCTGATTAGGTGTGTTTTTTTTTTTGGTTAGAGGATTCCTTTTCCTAATGAAATTCCTAATTGAATTAGGAAACCATAAAGTTGGTCGTGTAACAGTGTCCAAATATTTTAGGGAGTCACTGTATATTAATGGCACTATCGATCACATGCATTAAATATTTCAACGTTAGAAAAATTGCATGATGAGCCTAAAGATAGTCACCTTTTTTATTTTCTTATCTTTTCTTCTTTCCTTCCTTTTCTATATTTCTTTCTTTCATTATCTTTATCTTCTTTTTCTCGTCATCATCCTCCCCTTTTCTTCTTTCTCCTCAACTTTTCACCACCGTTTTCTATTTTATCTTCCACACACTTTTTAATTGACTTTACGAAAAAAGCCTTGTCGTAATACTAAATGGCGCACAGTTTTACAATCACTCAGTGATAGACAATGTTTTTTTCTTTCAAAAAAAGTGGAAATTAAGTTCGCACTATTTTTTTGTTTTGTTTCTTAATCGAGCCTGATTTCGTTAGAACACTTTTAACCTATCCCCAACCCTTATGTTCATTTTTTAATTGATTTATTTTCTTGTTTATTCATTTATATGCGCGAAATTTCTAATCAATTTCGCGGTATTCCATTTTCTTTTTTTTTTTATTCAAAGTTTCTGTAAAACAGTGCCACACTAAAGAACTACGATTCGTTAATCGTACAACTCCTAAAATTAAAATATTTCACAGTATATTCTTTCTCACTTTCTCACTTTCGTACTTTCGCATGCATACTTCATTAACAATCACTCTCAAAAGGGGGTCTCGATTATTACAAAGTGAAATACTAATCTATCGTAAAAAAAAGAAAAATTGGCGAGATTCGTTTTAATATATATATATCGAGCAAAAAGTAGTGAAAAAACAGAAGCATCACACCATGTTCGGCTGCATGACTCGAGCTGGGCGAGCCTCGATAGTTTAAGTTTTCCAAACGATACTCACCAATCGCCTAATTGATAAACCTAAACACAACTCGGATCACCTAATCCAAGTTAAAGCAACAACGTGAATCATTCATTGATCGTATGAGGAACGTTTGAATAACTTGGAATAGCTGAATTTATAAGCCTAATAGATTAACCCTTTCGCTGTATCGAAATACTTTTGAACAGAGAAAAAAACAAAATACATTTCTTCAAGTTATTTCAACAGAGTGACCACAATATCAAATGGTCTTTATTAACACCAGCGAAAAGGTCAATTGGTAACCCTTAACCTGATAGAATAATCGTAGAAGCTTTTTTCCTCGTAATAACATTTTAGAGGATAAAACAAAATGGCATTGTGGCATCGATGAAAAATAAATGAACAAAATTAAAATAAGAGGAAATTCAATCTCTCTTGTTCAATCATTCGCTCTTGTTCACACTTAGTACACACAATCACACACACATCCACATTGGGCATCAGACTTTTCCGTGAGTCTCTATTATACATATTGGGAACGCGCAGTAGGACTGTCGATTAAGAAGGTATCCTGTCCTCCCCAGGATAGGGAGGAGGGTAGAAGCAGAGCGTCAAAGGTATCGCAATAGCCGTGGGAATAATCGACGACTATGATCGATAGATGAAACTGCAGGGTGGCGTTAGGGTTGGCGGTGGTGGCGATCCACCACTCATCGCGATCGGTACGAGGGTTGGCGACGGCGACGAGGAGGGAGGGGAGGGGGAACTCGAGGAGACGTTGGAGGTTGGCGAAGGCGACTCGAGTGCCCTCGGGCCAGCTAACTCACGAGTGGACTGTCCCCCTGAGGCCGTCACAGCGCGACTACTTCTACTTGCTGAGCCCGCGTTGTGACGAATCCGTGTTGGCCGTCCTAAGCTCCGGTGACGGCCACCTCCCTCCTCGCTCGTTTCTCAAAGATAAACCTTTTTGACGCTACGCGTCGTCGCGAACCCGTCGTTCCGACGATACGCGTCCCCTTGATGGGAACGAAGGGTACCAAAGTTATCCCGCGGACCACGGAAACCATAACCGTCTGGAAACTGGAAGAGAGTTTCCGTTGGCGTTGGCGGTGGCTTCCTCATGGTCCCCTTTGGCGAATGCATCTTCGATGGCTGGGGAACCAGGACGGGTTCCGCGTACGTAACTTCTTCTTGTGGCAGTAACTTTGGCTCCGGTGCTAACCTGATAATCGAATACAATATTTTATTAATTGTTATGTATTTTTTAATATAGATTACAAGTTATATTTTACCTGTTGACGTTTTGTCGCTGTTCAAAGTATTCGTATTCCGTATCGGGATAAGGTAAATTATCGTCCTCGTCTTTTCTGCATTTTCGACCGCACAGGTATCCCGCTACAAAACCAAAGAGCAAAGCTGCTAATGCACCAGCCATTACGGCAATCACCAAAGTTTCAACGCTGTATTGCGGTGGGGGTGAATCAGCGGCTGATACTTCTGGACCTGTCGCGTTAACATATTTAATTTGAATAATGTCGTATTGAAGAATTATAGTCCGATCAATTATACCGAAAGTTACCTGAATTGTCTTGCTCTTCGTCTTGCATGATATTGATTATCTCTCCACCTTGGCTTTCCTTATTGGGTATCATAGAGTCTTGTGGGAATTTATTTTGATTGGCGGATATAGCACCGACGCTACTGGCGTCTTTGTTTAGTCCTTTGCTCGGCGGACAGGATGCATGAATGCCGGTTGCTACGCTTTGCAAGAATCGCTTTGCATCAGGTGGACTAACCGCTCGGCATTTGCCTTCAACCTTGTCCCAAGCACAATATGGATCTTGAAGTGCCACACATTCACCGCAGGACAATATCCTGTCACCGTAGCAACGATGCAACCTCAGTGCTTGAACTTGGCTATCAGCTATAACAACCAGTCGACCATCTTCCAAACCATCGCCGGTTTGCGAAGCACGGACAACTTTTATTCCACGTACAGGCACGGTCGATGGAAACGCTTGGATCTCTTCGATTACAACAGGACTGACTTTTTCGTGAGAATCCGCTGACTCGGCGTTCACAGCTTTGATAACTTTTCCGTTATCCGTGCCGATGAAAAGGACATCATAGGTTTTTTCATCTGGTGTTTTCACTTGAGGATCAACTGCGATTTGAGTGAACCTATAACTGAAGTTTAAACGCGAATTTCATTATTTTATTTTATTCTTTTTATTAAAAATTACAAACAAATAAATATAATTATAAAAAATAATAGAATCTTACTGAAAACTGGTGCGTATAACGATCGGTTGTCCAAAAAAGCTCGGCACTGATTCATCCATAAGAGAATGGGTCTTGATGAAGTCTAAATTAATGTCCGATAAAGTGTGAGAATCGTTGGAGCATATTCCTGGTCTGGGTTCGGGTACTTTGGCACTTTGTACAGGCAGCCAGTTTGAGTTGAGCGCGCTTTGCTCCTTGAAATTACCCTCGAATGTATCGGTGATGTCCTGGAGGGAAAATGCGCACACGGCTGAGCCGCTTATGCTATTCACCGGGGTCGTGAATGTGCCGTATATCAGCTGGGCTGATAAACTTCCGTACTGTCCGGATATCAGTTCGGTCGTTGACTCTGTCAATTACAAAGTAGAACATTTTGAATATTTTTATTCGAACAATTTGTCTTTTTCGTGACATTGATGTATTATTAAATTAAAATTCACTTTTTAAGAAAGAAAGAGAGAGAGTTCAAACTCACGTATTTCATTGAAGTAAAAAGGAAAATCCCCGGTGACGGAGCAATTAAGTCGAGACTTGAGGAAAGACGTCCATCTGTTACGAAAACGATGGGGTCCACCCCGATCGTATTTACAGACTCTCGCAACGCGAGAATAAACTGCCTGGAAAGGTCAAATAAAAAAAAAATATATCGTGAGATAAGAAGTAAAGGAAAAATCTGTAAGAGTGTGGGTGAATGTGTATTTATAGGTATTTATCTGTTATATTAAAGTTTATCTTCTTATTGAAGCGAACGATCAAGGGAAGAATCGTTTATTTTTCCTACTAACTGTACTTGGCTATAATATCAGTTAAGCTTTTCGTCTTTCTTAGAACTTTTATAAATCTGTCAAAGGTTGTAAAAACTCCAAAGCACGAGGAGAAAAAGCTTTCGTAATAAGCCAGAGGGCAGGAGGAGATTTTAAAGACGACTCATTCACAATTGACCCCTTCAGCTTTCGAACTTTACTTCGATCGAAAAGTAGCTGAGACGAGAGATGAGGTTGAATCGTTTGCTGTTAGAGAATGGCTAAAGAACGGGCCCCTTCTTCTTCTTCTTTTTCTTCTTCTCTAAAAGCTCATTCTGAATGGCCACTGATCGTAAGAGACTTAATCGTCTTAAATGGGTGATAAGAAATGTCGAAGAAAAGTATAGTATCCAACTAAAGTACCAGTTGTTACGAAAAAGAAACAGACAAACTTTATTTCTATGTGGAAGATTTCAACTTTAAATAAATAAATCAAATTTTATAAAATCTACGATAAATTTTACATCGAAAAAGAAAACAAAAAATAGTGGGATGAATTTGTAAATTTAATTGATATCATTAGAATAAAAAGTGGGAGAGAAATTTGTATAAATTGTTCACGCGAAATCAGATAAGTGAACAAAGTACAATATAAAGTGTAAATATAGTAATGTAGTCTCATAAATACATATACCTACACTATGAAAATATATAAAACCCTGATTCACGTGACTTCTATCATTTAGGAATATATTATCCCAACGAATCGGTAATAAGCTTAATAAATTATTTCCGCTTTAATTACGTTCCCTCGATGGTAATCAAAAGATTAATCGATCGTTTTACTCACCTTGCCGCAATTTATATATTCTACGGCAGTTTCCCTGAAGAAGAAATAGACAAAGTCTCCTTGTGACATGGAGTTGACAAAATTTGGAGCTGAAATGAGAATATCAATTTTTATTATTTTTTTTTAATACGAATTATAAAAAAAAAATAAAATAAAAAGCAAAATGTTGAGTGGATATTTAACCCTTTGAATGCTGAATACTTTTAACTAAAATGTTTTATAGGAACACAGAGAATAATTTATTAATAATAAATTATATTCAATAATTAAAGTTTTTCTCTCTAAATATGATTTAATTTTTACATTAGTATAAACATTACATTATTTTACATTAATATTAACAAACACATGCATATATGCACTCTAAGGATTAATAAAGTTTCATTTTTTTAAATAATTTATTTTTTTTTACAAATAGGAGCTAAAATGAGAGATCAATGTTTTAATTTTTTTTTTTATACGAAGATACAACAAAAAATTATTTAAAAATTGTTGAGTACATATTTAATAATAAATTCTTTTTTTTATAGAATAATTTATTTATTCGACGCAGTTTTGTATATTTCTTAAATAAGAACGTCATCGTATTGATATTTTATATCACTCGTTAAAAGTACCTGAGTCTCGAAGAGAAGCATATTAAACTTTTATTTTTCTAAAAGGAAAAGTAACAAAAAAAAAAAAAAAAGTAAAAAGTATTCTGTCGTTAAAAGAATTAAAGGAAAGGTTTGAAATATCAGTCTGTTAAGTTCGTTATAGTCATCTCTATAATTCCTTTCCGAACAGGACTCTCTCTCTCTCTCTCTCTCTCTCTCTTCTTCCATACCGAAGAAGAAGAAGAAGAAGAAGAAGAAGTCTTTTATTTTAAGCGATTATTTCAAGAATCCAGCGTGGTAAAACTCTATTTCTCTTTTGTCAGTAAAGTAGGAAAACTTTATCGATTTATTAACCGTGACAGGGTTTTCATAAGCTTCTTAAGATTCATAAAGTAATATTAATCTCGTGCGATACGTATACGAGAAGTGTCCTATAAATTTTCTCCATTTTCCTTTCATGCGCGTTACCCCTCCCCCCCCACACACACCCACCCACCCATACCCACAAATATTATACATAGACCCAAACAATGCACAATGTCGAATATTAGAATTTGGTTCGATGGACTCGAAATTATTCCAAATATCTTTTCTCTGTTTTATTTTTTTTCAACAAAATTTTTGTCGTCTGCGCTTGAATTTATTTCTTTTTCCATACAATTAAAAATACTTAAATGAAGCGTAGATTTTTTTTTTTAATCCGATAATCCTCTAGTTTCAAACGATCGATCGAAAGTCGACTTGTAAATTGTTCAAGAACGAAAGATGTAGCAAGAAAAAGAAAAAAAAAACGACACAAAAGATGAGAAGAAGAAGAAGAAGAAAAAGAAAGAAGAAAATAAAAAAGAGAGAGAGAGAAAGATAGAAAAGGGAAAATTGAATTTTCTCCCGACCAAAAATCAATATTATCCAACTTGGGTAGGAAAACTTGATTAGCGCTCGTACACCGTTCAATTAAAATACTCTCGGAGACGAGGTAGAAAGGGAAGGGGGTGTAGAAGGGGTTGGGGTGGCTAGGGGTAGAGAGTGCCTCGAACAAAGTGACGTATCAATTTTAACGCTCTGTTCGAACGAACGAACGAACGAACGAACCAACCAACCAACCAACCAACCAACCAACCAACCAACCAACCACCCAACCATCCAACCAACCGATCGACCAACGACATCGACGAGTCTTAACGGAAATTTTCATTCCCTTCGTACCTTTTTTTTTTTTTTATTAATATCTCTCATCTCGTCGTTCAATCTCTGCCTAACACGTATTCGTATATGGGGTTTACAAGTAAACCCACCCCATATATGAATTCCTTGTGTTTCTTACATAATATTATGTACTATTGTATAATAGAAAAAAAAAGGTAAAACTATGGCAATAAAACAAGGGGTTGCAGAAGTTTAAGCTACTTACACGATGTAAGTGAATTCGAATTCGCGTTTTCTTATCGAATAGAAAAAGGGGATTTTTGTTTTTTGTAAAAAGGAACAAGAAAAGTCGGTCGATTTTTTAAATATTTTTTTTTTTTGTTAAAAATAGAAACGAACAAAGAAATTCCCCTTGCCAACGATGAAGAAAAAGACTTTTCATTATATCGTCTTGTCTACTTGTTTTTTTTTTTTTATTCTTTTTTACAAGGGTTGAATGTTCAACGAAGGAAAAGAGAGAGGAAAATAAAAAAATTAAAAAAAGGGATAAGTGAAAGGAGAAAAGAAATCCGATCTTCTCTTTGTAAAAATTTTCTTTTATAATTTATATTTGTTTTATTTTTCTATTTCTTCTTAAGTATATATTTCTCTTTGTTTTCTTAATTGAACGAAACTGATACTCGGTACTAATTTAATTTTTCCCAAAGATCATGATGGGGGAGTCAAGTTCTTTTGCACCAAGTTCTCTGGCCTTTTTAAAAAAAAAAAAAAAAAAACCTTTCCATATTTTAACACGGATCGTACAAAAGAAAATTATGAACGAAAAAATTGGTAAAAAATTTTTTACGATGGTTCGAACTCTGGCAATTTTTAAATGGCAAATTAAATTTGGTTCCAAGATGTTTTTATTCCTTACTAATTTACTTTTCCATTTCTTTTCTTATCTTTTTTTAGATTACATTCTTTTTTTCTTTTGCTATGAAAAATTGAAACGTGAAAAGGTTAAAAAAGATATTCCCATTTTTTTTTATCTATTTCTAAATTTTCTTTAACACTAGAACTAACTATAGTTGAGAATTGGAATCTCTACCAAAACTAGTCACAATGATTGGTCTTTAAAAAAGATGTAGAAGTAAAATATTTTTATATTTATTAACTTATTATTATTTTGCAAAAGGAATTCCATATTCTGAGATCTTAAAAACTATATAATAACAATTATAATAATAAGTGTAATAATGTAGAATATTTGGTATCAAAATATTCTTGATATCAAATCAAGTCAAAAACCAACCAGTTAAAATGACTAGTCTTTAAATAAGATGTAAAAGTAGAATATTTTGATATTTATTAACTTATTATTATTTTGCAAAAGGAATTCCATATTCTGAGATCTTTAAAACTATATAATAACAATTATAATAATAACAATAAGTATCAAAATATTCTTGATATCAAATTAAGTCAAAGACTAACCAGTCAAAATGACTGACGTGGCATTCAACGTGTTAAACGCATGATTAATTATAAAGTTACTAGAATTTTACTAGTGCCGATCGTAAAAGATTTTTTTTTTTTTTTTAATAATTTTGATTAATCTGAGTTATATACTAATTTATTTTTCATCGTTTTTTCTTTCGTTTGGATTTCGTTCGAAGGATTATTCAAAATCGAATTTATCCTTTTCTCGAGACGGTGAAGGAACTTGACCCGTTAAGTAATCCCTTTTCATACTTAAGTATCCGTGAATTTATAAGAAAGAGAAATGAAGAAAAAAAAATCAAAAGATAGAAAGATTCTTTTGGAATTTCAAACGAACGAATGAACGAACGAGCGAACGAACGAACGAAAGGAACTACTACAACAACAACTACTACTACTACTACGTTGAACTTACGTAGAGGTTGGTTAAACTCTTTGGCTTCATCTCTTATTCGAATAAAATATGTTCAAAAGGAAATAGAATATTTTCTTTTAACTCGACTATATCGAATATGTATGATAAAAATAAAAAAGCTTGCTACTAGTAACATTGGATACTTTTTTCCCTTTTTATTTGCTTATGAAATTTTTTCATATACCACCTACTACTACTACTACTACTACTACTCGTATTTTAATATTATTTGTGCAATGCGTACTTTTTCTTCTTTTTTTTTTTTTTTTCTTAATAACGACGAAAATGACACTAATATTGTTAACATTAAATTGTATCAATGAAAAAAAAAACACATATACAATATATAAAATATATATTTTGTTATATGATAAAAATAATATTATTTTTATTTATATTAATATCTAATAACGAGTTATATCTTTACGACTTACAAAATAATATATAAAATTTTCAAACAAACTAATATTAATAAAAATAATGAATTATTTAATTTTGTATAAAATATTAGACCCATAACGAACTTTTTTACCAGACATTTCACATCCTATTTTATTAACATTATAAAAGAACAAATCAAATATATCAATTGACAATTAATTGTAAAACGGATACTCACAATTGAGACTCATCGAATCGTATTGTTCAGTTTGTAAAGGTTCTCTGTAGATAATAGGATCCATTCCAGCAAAATCAGCCACAGTTCCGGTGTAAAGTTCACCATCGACGTAAACGTATGTACTATTGTGTTGTGGATCGTAAGGACACATGGCCTGTGCTGCTTTTTCCTTGATCATCGTGTAATTACCTGCGTGTACCAGGTAATCGCGGCACATCGGTTTGAAGGCGTTAGTTGCACACACCAAAAGGGTGTTAGTGCTAGTCTTCACGAGGATTCTTATATAATTCTGGCAGTTTTCCTCTGGGGTACCTTTAACCACGCACATTTTTACATCCTTTTCTGTCGAATACCACGTAAGCCTTTGTTGTTCCGTCAAATCGGTCAAGCTCAGGTTATGCACCAAATTTCTGTCAAAAACAAAAAGAATGAAATACAATTTTATTTATTTTACTTATACAACTTATATAATAGTAGATTAGAATTTATTTGAGATAGGTATTTAAACACATTAACACGTTCTGTGCTAACCCTTACGTAACCCTGACTTATTATTCAGGCCATTTAATTTTGCTTTAACAAATCAATCATTACATGTAATTATTAATTATTATAAATATAACTTATGTAATTTGTTCTATACTGCATTTTTTTAAATAATGCATCAATATTTTATTAGAAATATTTTTTTACAGAATTACATTTATTTTAAACACATATTTTCAGTACATTAAATAAATATGTCCTATGATAAGTGTACCACCGTGGCATGGAACGTGTGTTACAATTATCGTTGAGAAAAATAGTATTGAAGTAAATAAAAGAATTTTATTTTCATTAAAATAAATAGGTTTTGTTTGAAGAAAAAAAGTTACACGTGTAATTTTATATATTTATTTTAAACATCCGATATTTTCCCATACGCATCAATCTGATATACAAGTAATAAGAGTAGAAAAATTATATTATTTAATAATAAAATAAATATAATATATGTATCAATGACAAAAAATTAAAATGTGGAAAGCACGAGATATAAAATTAAAGAAAAAAAAAAAAAAAATAGAAAAAGGAAAATAAAAAATCGGAATGAAGGAAAAACAACAATTTCATTGTACAATGTAACAGCACTCGCAGTTTTCAAGCGAGAAAATTATGCAATTCTTTTGAAAGAATCGGAACATTTCTTCTTACTCTTTTCTACTTTTACTTCTACTGCTTCTTCTTCTACTTCTACTTCTACTTCTTTTTAGGGACAACTAAATGAGAGAGAGAGAGAGAGAGAGAAAGAGAGAGAAAGAGGAGACACGACGAAGTCGCGGGGCCGTTTGCATTGCAAACTCAAAATTAACAGGAAGATTCGATTTCCTAGAAACTGCGTATCTCTTCATTTACATTTGACTGTGGTTTTTACCTTTTTTTTCTTCCTTTTTTTCTTTATTTTCAATTTTTTTTTTTTTTTTTATTAATATTTTTCTCCCTTTTTTTTATTTCTCTCGACCATTCGAATTATGAATGCAAATATGGTCGAGTATGCATTGGCGATTTCTACGTGTGTGTGTATATTGCGTTTTAAAGGTTCGATTTGCTATCGTTGGATAAAAAGTGAAGAAAATATAAATAAAAATAAAAAATAAAAAGGAAAAGTAACGTTTAACGTCATCGTTTAATGCGAAATACGAAAATGGAAAAATGTTGAACATAAATTTTGTGTTCCTTTAAAAAAATATATATATATAAAAACTTTATTTTACGAAAAAGAATTAATTTTATTTTCTATCTTTCTTCTTTCGTCATTGTTTTGTCCAATTACAGTCCAATCTGAAATATTTCTGTCGTAGTAACAAAAATAACAAAGAAAAAATTACGAAAATAATAAAATTTTATCTTAGGAAAAAGATTCGGAATTATTTGCAAAAGAATTATTTTTATCTTTTTTTTGTATTTTTTATCTTTATTCTTTCGTCATTGTTTTGTCAAATTACAGTTCGATCAATGATATTTCTGTCTTCAGAGAAAACTGCACATTTTTAAATAGACTTTAATGCAATAATTTAATTTTCCAACGTTCTCTTCTCGGCAAAGCTTACTTTTCTCATTTTTTTGATATTTTTTTTTCTGCTTTCTTATGATTCTAATTCGAGCGTTAAATAACGACGAGACATCGTTGTGTGTAAGACCTTTCGTTTCTTGAAAGCCCTTTCTCCCTTCCTTACCTCTCCTTTGAGAGTATGAAATTTCCAAAGTTTTTACAGACGCTCGAGTTACGCATAACTACTTACTTAGGAGCTTGCTTTTTCGAAGAACGAAGAATAAAAGAAAAAAAGGAAAAAATAATAATAATCAAAAGCAAAGAGAAAGAAAAAGAGAAAGGAAAAAAGAAAGAGAAAGAAAGATAAATGAGAGTTTTATTCACGTTTAGAAACCTTGTTCTATTTTTTGTTTAATTTTTTGAAAAACATTTTGTCCTTCGTGTTTGTTTTATTCGTTTGTTAATTTATGACGATATGCATGTTGCATCGAAATTATCAGAAAAAGATTCGATGAAGTGAAAAAAAAAATTGAAAAAATAAAATAATAATAAAAACTACAAAGTGGACAAATATTTTGTACCCCTGAGATTTTCTTTTATTCTTCCTCTCTATTTCTCTCTATTTTTTTTTTTAATTAATACACATGTAACTTTTGTTATCAAACGAATATACGAATATTTTATTAGCGTACTGGTAAATGAAATAAAACGTTGATTTAAATTTAAAAGAAAAAAAAAAAGAAAATAAAAGTAATTTTTAGTTACTTATCAAACAAGAAAATTTGAATAAATTATCGAGCAACCAACCAACGATTTGGAATGAAATTTTCCTATGCATTTATATACATGATGGGCGTCAAAATCATTACATATGCTGTTATTATACAAGTGAGAGAGAGAGAGAGAGAGAGAGAGAGAGAGAGAGTGAGAGAGAAATCGTTGAACAAACTTCACTCGTTCGTTTCCCACGAGACGACGAATTGTTGTTTCTAGCAAAAGACAAAGTTTAAAATTCCATTGGTACATGCCGTTTTCAAATCGCGTCATCTTTTGTCAAATATTCCAAATGTTAATTTCAATTTTACATTCTTGCATTTGAAACAAGAACAAGAACACGAAGTCATTTACAAAAGATGTTGTGTTCTGTCACAAATCGGTAAAATGTAATTGACCGAATTGTTACGAATTTTCTGTACTCTGTACTTGATAAATCAAAAAAACTTTGATGATAAAATAAAATAACGTGTTTGAAAAATATTCAATTTGTTTATGAATAATTTACGGTGTAAAAAGAAAAGAAAGATTTTGTTTGAAGTTTTAATGAAGCGTTACTCAACGTTAATAAATCACGATACTTTTATTATTATTAATAATAATGTAGTATGGAAAATAAATGAAAGATTTTGCCGTGTTAATATTATACATTATACATTAAAAATGTTATTTACTCCGAGTAAATTATCTCTCTCTCTCTCTCTCTCTCTCTCTCTCTCTCTCTCTCTTTATAAAAATATCAAATAAAATAATATTGAGAAAACCAATGTTAGTTGAAGTTAAAAACTACATTTAACATTGATTCCGTTTCAATTCATTTCTAATCGTTTCTATTTGAACCATTTTTCTTAAAAGATATAAATCAATAAATCATATTTGTACTAGACGATTATAGTATATAATATAACATAGACAGAATAAGAGAATTTCCGAGTTCGATATTGACGTATCGTCTAATTCTAAAAGGTAAGTGTAACACACGTTGAAAATTTAATTAGTATTGTAATTACAAACTATCACTCATTCTATAAACGTCCTATCATTCATCAATTATTCTTCGAACAATATTCTTTGCAATGTAAAATATGAAATATTAATTTCACGAATTGAAATCAGATGTTTTATCGTTTTTTTTTATTGTGTCAACGATAAGAAAAAATTAAAAATAGAAATAGTAATACGAATGAAATGAAATGAAGGGAAACTTTGATAAAATCTAATATTACAAAATCAAACATTCATATATATATATATATATATATAAAAGTACTAATCTACGTAATATTGCAAATGTTGAATAAGTAAGAATGACACCATAGAAATAAAGTAAAGAATAAGAAGAAGAAGTAGAAGAAGAAGAAGAAGATTCGAATGGTGGTCCTTTAATTAAAGCACTTCTATCAAATGAAACCTATATTTACCTTCCGCCAACGAGAAGATAGTTGGCATCCCTGAGCACCAAACGAAAGTAGTCTGTGTGCGTTTCATTTCCCGTAAACCTGAACACATCTTCGGCACCTGTAAAAAGAAAAACAGAAGAAATGGTAGGTTAAGTTTTCGTTTCTTCATTCGAAAAAAAAAAAGGAAGAACAAATGAAAAAAAAAAAGATGGAATTATCTTATTCATCTAATTAGTAGACTGCTAGTCTCGTTTCATTGCACGGTGCTTGGCCAATGCGATTTGGTTTCTTTCCCTTTTCTTCAATATCTCTCTCCTACACTTTCTTTCTTTTTCTCCCTTTACCACCCAAACTCATTCTTTCATAATTCTCAACGGGAAGCCAAGTTAATAAGCGTAATAAGTTTCCTTTTGACCGTCGCAAGAAGCGTCGTTCAGGAGGAGAAGAAGAACAATGCCGGTGGCCGATCATTAGCGAATTTCGCGTGTCGATGAGTACTTTATCTTACGATCGAGGGTAAATAAGAAGTCTTTTGTTTCGTACAGGCTCTCCTGTTACTCTTCCAACCACCCCCAACTCACCCCCAAACCTTTCCTAACTCTCATCCATCGTCTTTTCCCAAGAGAAGAAGAGAACCTGCCAACGTTACGTTCTCTTCTTCTAATTAGATAAAGAGAAAAAGAGAGGGAGATATATATTTCTATAAAGTGAACGCGAGGTATCCTATATATATATATATATCTTCTTCGTTGTTGAAAAAAAAAAGAAAAAAAACAGGTATAAAAAGATAAATATTTAAAAAGGAATAAAAATGTGAAACTATTCTTCTTTACTTTTACTCCTTTTTTGTTCTTTTATATTTATAGTTGATTTTTTTTTTTTTTTTAATGGTCTAAAGAAAATTTTTCTATCGATAATATCTTTAAACTTTGAACCATAAAAAAAGATAGGATAGTTCCGGTAATGAGTGGAGTAAAGGGGTTGATTTTAAAAATAAAAATAATATAAATATGAAACTTCTAGTTTAATCTCTTTTTTTTTTTTAATAACAAACATTCGAACTATTTATTAAATTAAAATTAGTATAAAGTGAGATGGAAAAGCACTATTTTTTTTTTTTTGGTTTATTCTTCCTAAGAGATCGAAAGCAAAAATTTTTTATTTTTTATTATAGACTTATTTTATTATATTTATTTTTTATTTCCTCACTATATTAATATTATATATTTATTTTATTACATTTATTTTATTATATTTTTTATTATAATTATTATATATTTAATTTATTATATTTGTTATTTGTTATCGTATTATTATGCCAGGGTAAAAAAAAGAAACGCAAATATATTATAAGAAAGTAAACGACGGTAGTAGTGGGGTGAGGGAAGGGGTAGTGGAAAAGATTTAGCTGCTAAAAAGTCGTTCGTTCGATTAATTAATTTGAAGTACGAGGATAGTAGATGGGAACGTGATTTAATTAATAAAACCGCGGAAAAGGGTGTCACGGACGAGGGTTTGACACTCGATGGATTCGATGATCGACGATGATTACAACGCGTTTTCCCCACGAATTTTCACGGTGATGATTCGATAAACGATCGGGAGAGTTCGCAACCCGAATGCGATACACACACACATATATATATATATATATATATATACAAATGTTCATACATGGGCATATAAACAGAGAAAGACAGAGAGACACATACACAATTGAACATATAGAGAGAGAACAGATAGGCTCGTTCTCGATCCGTGCAATTTGATAGGCGAATAGGCGAGTAGTGATAACGAGCACCAATGACGATGAGGGAGAGAATGAACGGGCCATTATCGGTTGGATCATACGTCTTCCTGTAGAAACGAATTAACGTCGATATTGTTTTCCCGTAACATCGTAAAATTATAGAACGAGGGTAACAAATGTATCGAAATATACACAACATGAATAAAACAGGGTTGTAATAGTACATGGGAATAATGAGAGTGAGAGAGAGAGAGAGAGAAAGAGAGAGATGACAAACAAAAAAGGGAACTAATTTTCAAATAATTTATCATCTAGTTATTTAATTAAAATTAACACACTTCTTTTGTGTTTAATATTTGGTATATCAGTAATTAAAAGGCTTATTAAATACATTTTTAATAAAATTATTTTTTGTAATAATATTTTTTGATAATTTAATACATTTATAACATATTTTAAAAATATAAATATAATATTATATAAATATCATTTATATTATTTAGATAGTATAATATTTAATATATATATATTAAATAATTATTTTATATAATAATAATAATAATTATATAAAAAATATAAAAAAAATCAGAATTAGAAAATTTGATTAAATCTTTTGTCTACGATTCCATCAGAATTCATCAAAATCTGATTTTTTCTTCAGAAAGATTTTTCACCATAATCCAATTTATTCCATAGTCTTCAGATGAATCATTGATAATCCATCGTTCTCATTGAAATCATACTAATCAATAGAAGAATATGTAACTATTCGCAATTATTTCTTTTCTTTCATTTCTGACGTTTATTCGATAGTTTTCAAATGGAACTTCAAAGCTTAACAATACTTTTATTATACTAATCACACACAGTATTTTGAAATTAATCATTTTTGTAATAATTACTTGTCTTATTAATTATTTACAGTATTGGTATGTAATCCCATAGAATCTAATTTTAGAAAAAACGTAGTTGAAATGGGGTGATGTAGATACTTCGCAGTGTACTCTTTAATATAGGCTTTTGCACCCTGCTGGGGTGTGAGTTACTATGCAGAAACATGGAATGAATGTGTTGGTATGTATATGTTTGAATTTGTTAAATATAGATTGATAGGCAGGCAGGTAACATACTTGTTTACACGAATGCGTGTAGTTATTTTAAGTATGTCAGGTAAAAAGACCAGGTAAAGGTACTGGGTTTTGTTTTCAATAAGGGTGGACTACTTTTTTGCTCTTTCAGGGATTTTGGATAAGTGTTAATATATTTTTATTTATAATTTTTTCAATTTTTTTTTTTTTTACTTATACTTCATATAATGTTAATATAATTTTATTAAACAATTGAAAAATACAATTTGTAATTTATGAGAATATTAGATCATTAAATATATAATTTTTGAATTTGGTAAAGAATTTTAAATTAGTTTAAATACTATTACTATTATTTTTAATATAATTATTAATTTATTTCTTTTTAAATATTGCAAAATAATGATAAATTATATTTTTGAATAATTCCGATTAGAAAGGTCTAAGTTTTGTTTAAATAAATAAAATGAAACGAATGATAGGTAACACACGTAATAATATATTTATTATTTTATTATTATTATTATTTTATATATATATATATATATATATATATATATATTTATTTATTTATTTATTTATTTATTTATTTATTATTTTATTGGAATAAAAATGCATAAGTTTTTTGATATATAAATAAATCTAATTAAAAATCTTTATCACGTTCAAGAGGGTAGATTTATATTTATTAATAAGTTCAAAACATAGGAACCAGGTTTTGCATATGAGATTTTACATGCACCTGCATTTTATTAAACTTGTAGATTTTAATTTGGAATAATGATTTTTCTATTTTACTATTTTATTTTTCTATTTTTTTTCTTTTATATATAAATTTTCTCATAATGTGTGCGTATACACATATATACGTATCGTATTTGCGATAAAATATGACGTAATGTATCGTAAATTTCGTTATTTCATTTACATTTTATAATAATAAATAATCTAATAATTAAATCAAATTTATTGACATTAAGAAACGTTCACTACATGTCACGTGTCAATTTTACACCCCTTTTTCCTTTTATTTATTTATTTATTTATTCATTTATTTATTACAGATTACTCGTTAATGTAATTACTTTGAAAGAATATAAATTTGTTTTATAAATTAACACACAAAAGAATTATCTCTTTCTTTGTTTCTCTTTCTGTCTTTTGATTTGAAATATAAATTATATATACAGACAGCAAAACGAGATAAACAAAAAGGGAAAATAAATTTACGAGATAATTTTCTATTTAAATTAATTTCATTTTCATTCTCATTTTCATTTTCATTTTCATTTTCATTTTCATTTTCATTTTACATAATATCAACGAATTCATTTTATGATTACTTATAACTTAACAGTTAATATATTGTTTATGATATAAATATATTGAAAAATTAATAATGGCCGTGTACTCACTTAAGAAAAAAGAAAAAGAGAAAAAAATAAAGAGTGAGAGAGAGAGAGAGAGAGAGAAAGAGAAGAGACAAGGAGACGAGACGAAACGACCTCTTTCTCTGATTGCTTCTGAAATTAAACTGAGAATTTGTATTCTATCTCGATCTTTCTCTCTCTCTCTCTCTCTCTCGCTCTCTCCTTTTCTCTTTCTCTCTTTCTCTTATATACACATTCTCATCAAGTTCTTGCTTCGTTACGTTATCGTTTTCCAAAATTAATCGTCCGATTCCAATCTTTCTACGACCCATACACTTCTCGATCACGAGAAAAGACGTCATGAAATTTCGATTCGTCAAATTACTGGCTTCATGGAGAGAGAGACAATTATCTGCTGCTTCATAATTGGCGAGAAATGTAGTTGGACAATTCATCTTTATATAAAATTCAATTAATTTATATACTTTTTTTTTATGATTCGATCAATTCCCCAACCCTCCACCCACTCACATTGCAAATGAACGAAGTTTAAAGCAAATATTATGTTCGTAATAATAATTTATTAATTTTTTTTTGTATTTTTTTTAAATAAAATAATGTTACGTGGAATGATAAAAAAAAAATACTATAATAAAATAATTCATGGTGATAAAAACAAAAAGGTGTAGAGGAAAGAGTTTCAGACGTGGTGGATACGTAGAGACGTGAAAACCGATACAAAATATAAACCACATTGAAAGTGAAAGAGTATAAAACAAAAGGGGGCAGGAGGAGGAGGAGGAGGAGGAGGAGGAGGGAAAATATAAGTATCGACTTACACGTGGTCGAAAGGTGTAAAAATCTGGCTGTGTTGCGGCATCGGAAGATCGATGAGAAATTTTAACGATAT